ATATATATATATATATATATATATGTATATATATATGTATATATATATGTATATATATATATATATATATATATATATATATATATATATATATATATATATATATATAGTATGTATATATATATATATATATATATATATATATATATATATATATATATATATATATATATATATATATATATATATATATATATATATATATATATTTTACGAAGTCTGTGATTAACTGCAAAGTGGAGGTAAATGAGGTTTAAAAAACATTTACCTGTTTTTGTTTCAACATTTGCACTGAAAGGAGAATTATACCAAATTATCTTGCATTTTTGATTGCTGTTTGTTGATTTTATACTTGGATGGTATGCAAGTTTGCAATTGTACCCAGATTTTTTCAAGGAGGAACACTTTTTTATAAGGAGGAATACTTTCTTTAAAAATCAATTTACTTGATGAATTTACTGGACGATGCTGCTGATAATCTTAATTCAATAGTCTTAGGAATATTTTTATTACACTCGGTAGATAATTAGAACTAATATGTATATAATCCAGTATATTATCTGGTTTGTGGTATGGCTAAAAAGAACCATCAGTAAGGTTTAGAGTTAAATCTCGATTTAATGCTAAATAAAATATCATTTGTTTGTAACAGAATTGAGAAATTTGACTACCTTTTTTGTAAATCAAGAAGTTATAACAAAATTAACAGTGTATTAATCAATGAAAATATTCAAAATTATTAAAAAAGTCATTTTTGTTCAAAGTGGCCAACTTTGAATACAGAGCCTCAAACATTTGCTGACATTTTCTGTGATGGGCTGCAGCTCTACTTGGATGATTTGATTCCGCTCCCTGATCAATGACTGTTTGAGCGCCATAAAAGCTTGGAGTTTTGCACAAGCCCTCGTCTCCAAAGTTGGCTAAACACTATAATCCATTGGGTTGAGATCAAACGAATATGGTGGCCATTCTTGAGCTGAGATGAAATCAGGAAAAATGACCTTACACCAGTCCTGCATTTATTTGGCACAATGAGATGGTGCAGAATCTTGCTGGAATGTCCAAAAGTTATTTCTAAAGTGTTATTGAGGAAAGCACCATATCTTCAAGAATATCTTTTCTTTTCACATCTTTGTTGATTTTAACCCTCAGAATAGATGAAAGTAAGAGAAGTTATTGCAAAATTCTAAACCAAACCATAACTGATTTGGGATTTCAGTAGTGTTGAGCAATGAAGGAGGTGCCTGGAGGTGCCTTTGCCCAAATCCAATTGTTTTGGCAATTTTTTGACAATATTTTAAATAATTTATTTTAAATCTAAATTAATTAGTTAAAATAAAAATAAAATAAGTGTGTTTTGTTCAAACTCCAAATTTATTTATTTATTTGTCTGAACATAAAATTATACGTAAAATTTGTTAATTAAAAAAAATTTATATTAATTTTATGCAAAAAGGAATTTATCAGATTTCCTTAAACAGACCCAATTTAGAAATTAATAGTATGTCAATGCTACTGACCACATGAACTATATCCAGACCATCTTACAAAACCAATAGCACGCATATAATTAATTAGTGCCACTTTCAACGAAATAACAGGCAACTGCAGACTTAATATCTTTAATTGTTTTAGCGTTTATCGCATTCTGATGTAAGTTATTCCACATTTTAACTCTATGTGTAAAGACATTTTGCACTGTAGGAATCCGGGCACTAAAGTACACATTAATCTTTTTCTATGGCCCTGGGTTTAACCCACTGGTCCTTCGATTCTAATTGAACAATCTGGTAGTAGTTCATTTTGCCAAGTGATAAGATCAAAACCACGGATAAACTTAAAATATTGAATAAGATCAGCTCTTGTTCTTCTTAATTCAAGTGCTGCTAAACATAGTTTCTTGAGTCTTTCTTCGTATGGTCAGTGTGCTATTTCAGATATAACTTTTGTTGCTTTTTTTTGAATGCGCTCAAGAGTTCTTATATCCTTTTTTAAATAGGGTGATCAAGCTTGTGTAGCAAACTCAATGTGTGGGCGGACGTAGGTAGTATAAAGAGACTTCCAGAGAGATAGCCCTCTACTTTTAAGTGTTTTTTTTAGGTTACCAAGCACTTGATTCGCTTTAGCAGCAGCTGTTTTAACGTGATTTTTTTGTTTAAGGTCATCGGAAATCAAAACTCCAAGATCTCTCTCTAAAGAGGTTAATACAATTTCTTGTTGTTGTCAGTGGTCACTCTATCCTGATATAAAATATTTTGTGTTAGACTTTGTTTTACTACAGTTAAATTGCATGACTTTGCATTTTTTAAATCTAATTTTAGATGCCATTTTTTACACCATAGGACTGTATTATCAATATCTTTTTGTAGTAGATTAGCACCTTATGGCGTCTTAATAACTCCAATTATCTTACTAAATAAATAGGGTAAATGGTGGTAAATGAATTAATTAAAATAAAAACAGCAAGACAAATCTTTTATTTAAATTCTGAACAAGGTAA